CCTGGAAGCAAAACAGGAAGAAGAAATTGAGGTCCTATAATCCCCTTCAAAGGTTTTCCTTCACTGAGCCATGGTTTGGTGGTTACTGAAAATTTCTCTGTTTGTCTATCTCTTTCTCTCTTTGGTACCGGGGATTGAATGTATGACCTTGCACTTGCCAGGCAGGCACTTGAGCAGCTGAGCTAAATCCTCAGCCAGGTTACTACAGATTTAAAAGAGTTCCTAAGGCTGATGGAACTCCTTCACCATTCCAAGGACAGCGTGTAGCAATGCGTAATTTTTTCATCATCATAAGAGACCATAAAAGGTGGAATTCTGATATAATTTCAGGCTACAAATACTTATGCAGTGGATGTTTTGAATGCAGAACTCTTTGAGGAATCTCTGTAATCTACCATCTTACTCTATGTACAATATTTAGCAAGTGCTAAGTTCTTTGTCAATGTTAGCTAGATAAAAAAGTACATGAGTTGGTATCTATTCACCACATAATCAAAGGATTCTTTTTGTTGTGAAAATGTGGCAGAGACAAAAGATTACAACAGCTGCAGTATTTGAACGGAAATTAGTCTCAGTAGACAGTGAGAAGAGAACTTCGGATAGCAATTTTCTGTGCTTGTTTGAAACTTGGCTCTGCCTGTGATTTCTCTGTCACAGATTCTGGGCTAGGAGAGGGCTTGCACAGGAAAAGCAGGGTGTACTGACATGGAAACTTGCAAAATCGTTGGCTGGGTTGGGAGTCTCTCCTATTTTAGTCACTCCCAGATGCCTGCTGCTTTAGTTTTAGGGGAAAGGAGGATGTCATGCCCCTCCCATGGCTTTGAACTCACATGTAACACCAAACCTCAGTATGTTCCTAAGACGGATTCGATAAAGCCTTTAAAAATTGTGCTCTTTAATAGTGCCTCTTTCATTTACACTGTATATATAGCAAATAAGCAAACTGAAGAAAGCTTGGTGAATAATTAGGATTTCCTCCCCAATTAGTGATATAAACCAGAACCCTCCCTACTTCGCTTGTGATCTAATATTTATGAAGCATCAGCCACTAAACATATGTTGAATCGCACGTATACCAGATAAGCCAGCTGCCCCAGTAGCTATTGTGCTAACCTAACAAGCTCACCAGATGCTTGTTACGTAGCTGCTGTTGTCTTTCCTATTATTTTCAGGGTTCCTTTTCTTCCCAATACTGCAATTATGAGTTAAAAAGATGTTAGGCTGTAATATATATGGATGTGAGAATGAAACCCTTTGAAATCCTTTCTAAAAGAAGGCCCAGCGTCCCTTCCAAGAGGCCCTGGAGCTAACCACCCAGGACGATCCCAGGGTGAAAGTCCATGATGGGTTGGTAAGATATCTTCTTCCTTTTCCTGAGATACTATGGCACTAATGTGCCACAAGTCTTCAGAGACAAAGCAAGCACAGGGATATAGCAGTTAAATACACGATGCTTGCATTAGATGCAGTGCAAGGTCATTTACTAGCTGTGTGAATGTGAGCAATTACTTAAAATTTCTAAGGCTTAGTTTCTTATATAAAATAGGTACAAGGATTGTAGTGGCTGCATCTTTGTGTGTGTTGGGAGGGGCAAGATCATGGTAAATGATGCTGTCTCTGTTGTCCAACCAGGTTTAAGCCAACCAGAAATGAAACAAAGAGTAAGACAGGTGGAGGTCAACATGTCCCCATAATTGTTAAAGAGTGAGACACATTAAACAATGAGACATTTCTTTATGGTCTTCACAGCCAACCTTGCTACCAGGACAGATGTTTTCTTGCAGGAACAGTACGTAGGGTACTCCTGGGAAGGAGAAGAGTGATCCCGTTTCTTCACTTATGCTCAGCGATCAGCTTGGTTTCTACTCATGAGGGCTAGCACAGGGCTGTCGAGGGCCAGTTGAAGTGTCATGGTTCTCGAAGGAATTCTGTGAGAAGAAGCAAGGTGTTGGATGAAGGCTAAATCATCAACCAACACATAGATTGGTGTTATTACTGCTGCCGTGACAGCTTATGTGTCAGGAGCATGGCAAGGAAGCGGGGAGGATTAGATCCTGGGAAAGAAGGAGGAGTTTGTACAATGGTATTTGTTGAGCCACGGGGGAGGGGAATAAACATTTCAGAATATTACCTTTAAACCAAGCAAGACGCCAAGAATCTACGCTTAATGCGGTTCTTGTTAATGTTGTACTGGGACAGAGAACCCAGAATGGAGGTTGAGGGCAGAGATTTAACCCAGTTGACAGGGAGCAGGAAACTTCACTACATAAATGTGAAACAAGGACAAGGTGTGGAACCGGCAGCTGGGAAACCCTGCCAACGCATTATTTCTTTAAGAATAGACTTCTGGGTCTGGGGCGCATGACTGATTCATGTGTTTGTGGTTTCTGACTTTGGATTTGAGATTAGCCCCCCTGCTCCTTAACTGAGGTTTCACTAGTTGTTCCAACACAGCATTCTTTTGGGTTGAGAAGTGGGATTTTCTAGAGAAAATATAACCAATGAGTTCTATGTCTATATATGAAAATTTATTACATATGTTAATTTATTTAGATTTATTATAGAAAGCTTTGCATATTGTATCCATTATGTAAACATTGGTATAAGTAATAGACTTATTTATATTTGAAATGATACTTATTTTGGGGAATGAATTCCTGATTATTGAAGCTGAGAAGTCCTAGTACATACGCTCTGTAATCTATAGACACAAGGAGGTCAAAAGAGCAATGAAATCAGAGTAAGTCTGGGAGGCTTAAGCACCAGAGAACTGCTTGTATGTGTCCCAGTCTGAGGGCAGGAGATGAGATGACATGTTCCAGGTCAAATTTGTCCTTTTTCTGTTCCTTCCTTCATTTCATTCAGGCTCTCAGTGATGGCCAGCCACACCGAGAGGGCCAATCTGATTTACCTAGTTACCTACACCCACACACTTCAATTGGGACTCTCTATGGCCCTCTTAAGATGACACAAAAATTACCCACCATAAATTGTATTTTTTTCTTTTTTTGTGGCACTGTGAATTCAGTCAAGGACCTTTGCACTGGACTAAATTTCCTTTTATTTTGAGACAAGGTCTTGCTAAATCTCTAAATAACCCAGTCTTGACTCCAATTTGGATCCTCCTGTCTCAGTATCCCAAGTATCTGGGATTAAAGGCAACTTCCATCAAATCTAGTGAGTTTATTTTTTTTTAAAAGTGACAAAAATACATAATACAGAGAGGTGGTGCAAAGAATCTCAGTACTTTGGTGTTTGCATCCAATGTGCATCTCTCATACTGGCTGTAATTAGGCCCATCAGCTCCTGCAAAATTTTCTCTTAGTTCTTATGGTATTTCTTTTGGTCTTTTTGAGACAGGATGTCACTATGCAGATCAAGCTGGTCTTGAACTCATTTTGTAGCCCAGACTGGTCTTGAACTCACAACAACCCTCCTGTCTCAGCCTCCCGAGTACTGGGATTATAGGTGTGAGTCACCATGCCCAACAGTTCTTACAGTATTATAAAATAAATTTACCACAAAATTTAAAATCAATTTTTTTTTTTCAGATTTCCACTGGCCTCTGCTTTGAGCTAGGCATGATCTTTGTTTAAGGCAAATTTCCAAATTACTTAATTTTTCAAGAGTTAGCATCTTACTGTTCATGGCCCTCTCCCCTCAAGTCCCAATCCCAGGTTAGTATACAGTATGGTAAAAGTGACCAATTGGATTTTCAGTGGTTGTAGGGTGATTTGTGTGGATCTCAAGAGGATGTCCCAAGTAGACGTTATTATCCTTTTGTTGTATGAAGCATAGTATGACTGTTAATCCTGGTACATCAACTACATTTGGCTTAAGAAATGCCTAGCAGATTAGTAGACATGTGCTATTTCTGGATGGGTCATAGAAGTGGGCACCGTATTTATTTTTTTGTCCATTTCTTTGTGGAACTATTCCCTGCTCTATTTCTTGGCTGCCATAAACTAAGTAGTTTTGCTGTGGCAAACCCTTCTGCCATGATGTTCCTGGCTTGGAATCAGCTGACCATGGACTGAATTCCTCCAAGCCCTGAACTAAATTTAATCTTTTCTCCTTTACATTGTAAATGGTGAGTGTTGTGACCAGCAATGGGAAAGGTAGCTGACACACATGGTAATTTTAAGTGATTCTCAGAGAGGAGCTGGGGAAAAGATATATGGTAATACGGAAACAATGCTTCAATTCACAGAATGAAAAACAACAAACGTGAGAAAAGGAAAAATAAATATCACAAAGGAAGCATCATAACGTCAATGTTCTGCATATAAAAGGAGGTTATTTAGGGACCAGGGATTTAGCTCATTGGTGAAACATCTGCCTGGCAAGTGTGAGGTCCTGAGTTCAACTCCTGGTAGAAAAAAAAATTGTAGGGTAAAAGAGGTTATTTGGTGACTTTGGGAGATATTCCAATCCTAGAAGAAAACTTTTAGGAAGGAGGGCACAGTGCACAATGAATCCATTTGTTATGAGCGAATGCTCTTATATCTAGACAAATAGATCATACAGATTGATTCTAGGGTCATCTCACCTGCTTATCATTTTTGCTAAGTAGAAGCTGTGGTTCCACTGTGGTTAAAGAAGAACTAATCTAACCTGCCCAGCATTTTCAGGAAGGACATGTTGGAAAACAACTTTCCTCACCCATATTGAGCATGCTCTTAAAATTGATACCATGAAGTTTATTCTGATGTTTAAATCAATGTGTGCTTCACACTAAAGGCTCCATAGGTGAGCAGGCCTGTATTTGGTTAAAATTTGTGTACATTTCAAAGGCACTGAATTTTAAGGAAACCGAAGAGTTGCCAATCAGTGTGGCAACTGAAACATTTATTTGATGGAACAAAACAAAAGAGATCATATCAGAGCTATGACCTAAGTTTAAAATTTAATGTCCTTTTATTATTCCTCTAAAGAGTCTGTCTTTTCTTTGAAGTTGCTCTTCACAGCATCTGCTAAGTGACTTTGTTGTTGGATTTTAGGGCTTGGCACAGTATTCCGTCCTCTTTTATGGCTATTACGACAATAAACGCACGATTGGATGGCTGAATTTCAGGTTGCCGCTCTCCTATTTTCTGGTGGGGATTATGTGCATTGGATACAGCTTTGTGGTTGTCCTCAAAGCGTAAGTTTCATTTCTCTGTTGGGGAGAAAATGATGATTTCTGGACTCAAACAGAACTGTTTTGAGAATTAGATATAATTTTGTTCTATGGCTTGTCTAGAGGATGCACAGTTTATGAGAAATAAAATGTCATTTTAATACCAACACTAATGTGAGATTATTACATCCTCACTATGAACATAATCACAGGCCTCTGGGTCTCCCTACTGGGTCAGGGTGATGGTTGCATGCCTGTCTTGTCCTTGTGGATGTTTTAAGAATGTACTTTTTGTGCCTCAAGATATGAATCAATGTTGCTAAGAGAGGAGAAATCTATGATCCTTCTTCTGCATGAAGAATCATGTGACATACAGAACCAGCTCAACAGGCAGAATCTGTTCGGTGTTCATTTTTTTTTTTTTTTTTAACCAGACTAATCATTCACCAAAAAAAATTCTGGCTGTGTAAGACAGAAAAAAACGAATGGCCCTGAATGAGACCATCTTGATCAACAGTATAATCATGGTTTTTCTTGGAAAAAGATTTATTAGAGTACAGGAATGGATTTCACTAGAAAAACTGATAAAACTGCAATTCATTTTTTTTCTCTTGCCTGAAATATATTTATAACTCCTTACTTAAAGACACTGCAGAAATTTAGCAGTTATCTAGGGCTGTGAAAAAAAATCCATCCTTTAATCAATTTTCTGAGCTACCTTAGCAGGAAAGTTGAAGCATCTCAAGTAAGAGCTCCATTCTTTTATATGACAATGCACAAGGCAAATTGGCCTTTTGCCTCACTGTGGGAAGGCCTTTTGCTCAACAGTCTAAGAGAGGTCATGTTCACAGTCACCCTAAGCAGGAGCTCTCTGGGGGAGGTCTGTGATATGCTTTGTGTTCTATGCCTACCTCATTGCTCTGCAGAAAACAGTCATACTGGTTTTTTTTAGACATTTTTTTTTATTGGTACCAGGGATCGAACTCATGACTGCCTGCTTGCAAGGCAGGTGCTTATGCCGCTGAGCTAAATCCCCAACCAAAAACAGTCATATTTAATCTTTAAAGTTCCTTCAGGACTTGAAAAATGCTTTATTGGAGACTCCATACCCAACATGTTTTTTTTTTTTTAATTTTTTTATTTTATTTTATTTATTTTATTTTTTTTATTTAAGGAGAAAAGAAAAAAAAAACAGTGAAAGGGTACAAGTTATACAGATTTACAGAAGAAAAAAATGAACAGTAGGAAATCACTAGTTAATGGATTACATATTGCCATCTTAGAAATAATTGTTCAAGTCACAAAATTAAAGCTTGTAGAGTGGACATTCCAACAATGATACTGCAAACAGTTCTGTTCAATGATCCAATAAAACTCTGTGATATTTTCTATCTTGTACACTTAAATATACATGCAGTTATATAGTTTAGAGCACTTTCTTTTCCTCTCTTTTGTACAATGACTATTACACATTTTGGCTTTCATTGCTCCCACGGTTCTTATTGCTTTTTTGGAAGAGAGTAAAACCAAATGAGACATAACAGAACAGAATCGGTCAAGTCAAAAGGGTGGACATAATAGATAATATAAAAAATAATACAAGGTGATCAACAATGGTTACCATAATGCCTCCCGCTATCTCTAATAGAATTGCCTATATCATTAGTTATAATACAATTGAACAAAACAGTAAAGAACAAAACCGACAAAACCAAAACATTGGAGACATTGTAGGTCTTTAAAAGTAGATAAAAGTCAACGAGAATGGGCGTTATAATGAATCTCATTATCTTCACAGCTGATGCCTAAACTTTCGAACCTGATACTATCCAGCAAAACAGAATAGGGGAACATCAGTCAAAAACAAGATGGTGAGAGTAATACAGGGCTTCAAATCGAGATAATAGAAAGTCAAAGTGGGTTACTATATTATATCCTGCTATTTTTTCCCTTTAATTAAACGGATAAAAATAAAAAAGTAAATAATGGAGTGGAGATTGAGAAAAAAGAGGGCATAACAGTGAAACAGTGCAGATCAAAACATAACCATTTAAGCAGAATAGTGTTTCACCACCAGATAATTCCGACCCAAAAGTAGTTACCATATTGACTCTTTCCTTGAAGTCCTTGAGTACAACTTCGTATACTGTAGCATTAAGTATATCAAAACAATGTAAAACCATTTAAGAGAATGACAACATTATGGAGTATTTAGAATCGACTAACAGAAAATGAACAATGGTTTCTGTATAATCTCCTTGTCTTTAAAAGGTTTTTGCTTATACTATCGTACATAATAAAATCCAATAAGATACAACCTGTTTAGACCATTGGAGACAGAAGAACAAAAGCTAGATGAGACTTCAAAACAAGATGATACTAAATCAGTATTACCTATTAAGATGTCATTTTCTCCAAAATAGCTGTTCCTATCATCCAATCTTCTCTGTCTCATTTCTGTTGAGCTCTTTTTCTGTCAGTAGCTGTCAGTTTGTCTTCTTCATTTTGTTCTCTGCTCCATTCGTTGTGGCCTCCCTGCCACTATTTCTGGGTTCTTTGTATTTTTCTTTTTTTAGAATATCCTACAATACTTTCTGTAGGGTTGAATTGGTGGTTGCAAATTCCCCCAGTTCCTCTTTATCCTGGAAGCACCTTGTTTTTCCATCAATTTCCAGGGACAGTTGTGCAGGATATCTCAATCTTGGCTGGAGATTATTATCTTTCAAAGCTTGAATTATTTCTCCCCATGCTCTTCGTGATTTGATGGTTTGTGCAGAGAAGTCTGCTGTAATTCTGATGGGTGTTCCCTTGTAAGTGGTCTGTTTCTTGTCTCTTACAGCTTTTAATATTCTGTTCTTGTATTGAATTTCTGGAATTTTTATTATTATATGCCTGGGTGTTTCTCTGTTAGGGTTGTAGGTAGCTGGGGTCCTGTATGCCTCATACATCTGAGTATCTTTACCTTTTGCTAAATTAGGAAAATTCTCCTGGATTATTTCTGTGAGTAGCTTTTATAGTTCACTTGTTTGTGTCCCTGTTTCTTCTTTTATGTTCTTAATCCTTAAGTTATGGCTCCTCTTATCATCTTCTTGTGTTTGTATTATTGCTGTTTGTTTCTTTGTTATTTTTAAGAAGTTTTTCATTTCATTCTCCCATATTACAAGTCTGCCCTCCAGTTCAGATAGTCTGTCCTTAGTTTCTTTCAAGCTGTTATGTCAGTCTTGGATAGACTTCTTAATTTCTTGATAGTACCTTTGAACCTGCTTCATGTACTCTATGCTTTCTCTGTTTTCTCCATCAAACAATTCTCCCCTCTTTTTCTGTTCTTCCATTCCACCATCTGTTTTTTCCTGGGTGGTGCTTAGCATTTCTCTAACTATTCTGCATACTTCTAGCTTCAGGTCGTTGATAACTTCATTCCTGAATTGGTCTTTGAGGCTCTCTATATGGCGCTTAATGTCTATTGGTGCGGTGTCCACTATTGCCTGTTTCTCAGAATTGGGGGCCGAGGAGCCTTTCTTGTTGCTTCCCTTCCCCATATTCTCTGTTCCTTATATATATGCAAGCTTGTATAGGAGGCCCAGCTTCCCTGCCTGTCAGCCACAGCCTGATCAAATTGCGCTGGCTAGGTGTTCCCGCCCACCGCTGCGCACCAGGGAGTTACGGACTAGGCAGCCTACGCGGGAGTCAGGCTCTGGGATCTGTGTTAGGCCAGCCTACCAAGTCCGCCCGCAGCGTCACGCAGGCCAGGCACTTTTCTCCAATCCCATCTGAGAGGGGAATGTGTGGCTGGAGTCGCCACCGCACCCTGCTCTTACAGGACTGCCTGAGCCCAGAAAGTCCTCCGCTGGAGTCAAACTGTGGTAGAGTGTCAGTTTCTCTCACTCACCTCTCCACAAGTCAGTGTACGCCTCCTTGTCTGTCCTGTTTTCGACTCTGTTCGCAGACTCCCGTTCCCAGAGCTTCTGTGCGTCTCTCCTTGCCGAGCCGCTGGGAGGCAGCCAGCCGCCGAGTGGCGGGAAACCCAAATCGCAGTTTCCAATGGCGCGGGGTCCAGCTCCACACCGAGTCTTTTCTGTTCCTATTTTAGCGCCAGGACTGCATTCCAAGTTGGTTTCTCTCAGCCCAGTTCGTTCCTGAGTCAGCAGAGCATATCTCTACCGGCTCATGTCTCCTTAGTCCGCATCATTCCTGACTTCTGAGCCGAGCCTTTCAGAGAGCCTCCGGTAGTTGCTGTTATCTGTCCGCCATGTTCTCCCGGAAGTCCCCAACATGTTTTTTTAACTTGTCCAAATATAATTAGTGACCCTGAATACTGGAAATCTATTTATCCAATAAAGCATCATCCCATTCTAAAAATCTAAGATAGTTTCTGACCTTTTGAATATCTTGTGTAATTGAACTAAAACAGTCAAAGATATCATTTCTATGAATGAGCCTTCATGTGTGTCATTTCTGTGTTGTACATTTAGTTTTCATGACCCTTGAGGAAGAATGTCTTTGTCTGTCTAGTTACTACACTTGATCTCAGTCAAAAGGCCAAGAAACGATTTCCATCTAGTTACCATACTTAACCTTTTTTTTTTTTTTTTTTTTTTTTTGTGATAGCTGGGGTTGAAGCTCAAGCATGCTGGGAGACATTCTATCATTAAGATATATCCTAGCCTCTCAGCCTCTTTTAGTGACTGCAGAGCCCACATGCCTTAGTGAGGTCTTGGACCATTCTGTTTTGGTTTAAGTCTCATCTGTACTTTTATGTTAGTTTGTGTGAACACCAGTAAGTTGCTCCTGTTTCTCATTTCTGATAGAGGTATAATAGGTTTGAAGATTAAAGAGTTCAGACACACAAAGTGCTTAAAGATGATGGCATCTTGAAAGTGTTTAAAAATGTTTACCATTTTATTAGGCCTACAAAATAGCCATTATTCTTTTTAGATAACCAAGCAGGGTCAATATGGTAGAAATTGAGATCACAAGATAGTTCTCCTAAAGAGGACTGGAGTGGGGATGTACCTCAGTGGTAG